ACACTTGCAACATGTTGCGACATCCCCGATCTACTTTTGTAACATCCATATGAAACAATTGCAACATACCTCTGAAAGGTCTGAAATATTTGAAACATACACTTGCAACATGCACTTTTATCACAACATCTCCTTATTGAGGTCGTGCGTCACGGCGGCCACGGCATCAACAACGGCCATGACCTTCTGGTGGGGAACAACGGCGGCGGCGGCGGCACCTCAGCAGCACCCCGGTGCGCGTGGGGACGGGACACGGCGCGCAGCAGCGGGGCGTGCGGCGTGCAGCGAGCTGGAGCGCAGGCGCGGTGACGAAGGGGGGCACGGCGTGGGTTGGGAGCGTGGCGCGAGATGGGGTGCACAGCGGGGAAGACGACAGCAACCGAGCAGCGAGCGCATGCGTAGCCGCACGCGATGGGCGAGCACGGGAGTAGGAGATATTTTGAGAGAGATGGGAAGACAAGGAAGCAGGCCTGTTGGGCCGCGAGACCTAGAAAGCGACGTTCGAACAGACGGACGGACGCTCCTAAGCATTAGCGATAAATATATTCACCTCAAATAAGGCACAAAACACATAAATCTTGACAGAAATATCCTTATCCACCTACACTAATATAGCTAGCAACATACTATTGAAAATTGAGGCTACCAACAGTCAAGAACCATTAGGCCATCCCTTCCTAGTTCCATAATCTCCTCCCCCTTCTTGCTATGCTTTATTTATTCATTTATTTGTATCTGAACCTTGCTGCTTTATTTATATATGTCTCTGCAGTAGGGGCTCCTTGCCCCTCCTGATCTTTCAAAAAAAAAGAACCATTAGGCCGCCGGCACGACCAATGGCACGTAATATGAATGAACACATCATATAATTTTTTACTTCGAAAATTGAGGCTATAGGGACCTAACCCGTCGGGAACCCACGACATATCATCGTGCTCCTCGGGAAAATCTCGCTCAATAACCGCGGAGATTCCATCACCGTCATCACCATTGCTGCTCCGCTTGCTGGGATAGGATTACGAAGCGGGCGCCGACACCATCGAAAGATGCGGGCGCTGCAGTTGCGGGCGCCGCCGCCGTCGCACAGCCAGCGGCTTCCGGTTTCTTTTCCATGCGACGTGAGCGAGTACGAGAGCACAGGCGCACAGATTCCTCATCCCATTCGGTAGGGATAAGTCAAAGGGAAAGGGCACATGCGTCATTTTGCGTGGCTGCCTATTAAAATCAAATATAATAATCAGTTTAGTGTCCATAGCATATTATAGCATATTAGACATAGGCTCCGTTCGCTTCGCTGAAAAAACAAGTCGAAACATTGTTCCGGCTGATTTGTTGTGAGAGAAAAATATTATTCCGACTAAAAAAACAAGCTAAAAAACGAATTATAACAGAAGCGATGAGGGCCATTATTTTGATGTCTTCTAGCGAAGACATTTTTTTAGTGGCCTGTGGCAAAAGCCGCACTTTTATAATGTCCTCCGTCAAATTTTTCTTTTGCTTTATCAATACAAACACACAATGTAGGCATCTTTCATTCAAAACAGTTTTTTTTTTAATTTCAACTTACTGCAGATTGATAAATTATGAAGAACAAGCTAATCATGCCTCCCAAACTTCATTGCAAGATTAGGAGTTAAGACAAGGACGACACAACTCAATTCCGCCCAAATCAGAGCTAAGAGGGGGTACTGGTCACTATTGCGTTTGTGCTCTCTTAGCTTGTCTCAAATCCAAGCTGGTATTAGACCCAATAGCGATTCCAATATGTGATTCATCTAACTGACACCCTTGAGTGAAGTCTATTCTAGTTCTAAGAGCATCTCCACCGGATTGAACAAATGCAATCTCCTTTCCCTATACCTAGCAATAAAGGGGATTTAAGGGGAAAAAACGTTCACAGTTTGATCCACAACTTTGCTAGCCAAATCAGCTAGTTTCATTCCTGGAGTTGACTATTCCGGCTTCTCCAAACTTTCCCGGAACATAGTGACAGGTCTTCTGATGGGGAAGGCCTAAGGAGGAGGCGGTGGAGACGGGTTTGAGGGACTCATGGAGGGCCTTAAGCTCTAGAAGGAGGAGATGAGTGGGTGAGAGGGGCTTTGTGGTCATCGATGGGGGCTTGGCATAGGCTGTTGGGAAACTCTTTTTAGGAAAGGCTACATACACACAGATGGGATAGCGTATTCTTTTTGGGCAAAATTTGGTGCCCTTTAAAAGAGATTCAGTACAAGAAACTAGGTGACAATGTCTTCCTTTTTCCTTTCCAGCAATCAGGTGGCAAAAGAAGAGCAATTTTTGGAGATGGCATGGGAATTCAGAGGGGATCTACTCAGTGTGGCTGATTTTGATGGGAAAAACGGTTGGAGGACTTGGAGTTCATCTATAATCCAGTATGGATCCGACTTTTTTTATCTTCCTTTGGGAATGATGAATGAGGCAACAGGAAGGAAGATTTGGGACAAGGTGGGTAAGGCTCTTGAGGTGGATGTGGAGGATGATGGTTCTGCATTGAGAAGTACCTTAGGGATCAAGGTCAGATTGGATGTGTGGAAACCGTTGCTCCGAGGTGTGACGATGCAAGATGAGGATGGGGCGGAAGCTTTTGGTGCCCTTTCAAATATGAGTTCCTCCCAAATTTCTGCTATACTCGTGGATTGTTGGGGCACGTTAATAAGAATGTGATGACTATGGAGGAAGGGATGAGAAGCAACAGTTTGGTGAGTGGTTGAGAGTTAATCCATCATGAAGGAGAGTTGTTAGTGATAACAGAAGAAAATGGTATGATGGGAGAAGCTCAAGTTGTCTCTCAAAAGTGTGTGGGAAGGTTCTAAAAGCTAGATATTTCCCAAACTCAGATATTCTACATTGTAAGGCTCAAGCTGGAATCTCCTATGCTTGGATGAGCATAATCCATGGTATTGATATCCTAAATCAAGGAATTATATGGAGGATTGGATCTGGCTCTTAATATCTGGGCTGATCCTTGAATCCTAAGAGGAAGTACTAGAAAAATCTATAACTCCAAGAGGTGGTTCTCTACTCACAAGAGTTTGAGATCTCATGGACCTGAGCACAAGAACATGGAATGAATGATTAATCAACGATATTCTGGCCCAAGGATGCATAGTGTGATACAAGATCCCTGCATGGCACTATGGTTCAAAAGGTGTTTTCTCTGTAAAATCAACATATAAGCTAACAATACAGATTCATGATCAACGGAAAGGAAATGATGCCTCTTCATCAACAATGGGAAAGCCAGAATGCATATGGCTCTAATTGGGGGAAAATTATGGCATCTTAATCTCCACGGACTAGCAGCCTGTTCGGGAGGCCGTAAACGATCGTAGATTATTTACTGCTGGCTGGTTTGGTGTGAGAGAAAAACACTGTTCCGGCTGGAAATTTACGATCGTTTACGACCAAGCAAACATGCTGATAATGCAAGATGTTCCTCTGGCACTTTGCTCATAACAGTCTACCACTGAGGAGGAATATTGCAAGACGAGGAATCATGATTGATACCCAGTGCCCTGCCTGTCTCAGAGTAGATGGAGATCATGGTCACTTATTTTTCAAGTATAAAGCGGTTAAAGAATGCTAGAGGGAATTGTGCATGGATCATGTATGCGAGTTGCTAGGAACCTGTAGGCCAGGCAAAGAAGTGATTGAGAATATCTGGATTTTAAAGGAGAAGGAACAACTAAAGACTTGGGGTACTCCTTTGGAGATGGTGGTCAACTCAGAAGCAAATGCAAGCGAGAGAATGGCTAGTAAAGCTAAGGTGTGTAATTCAGTGTCCTATCATTTGATGGAGCTTGAATAGTTGAGGAAGGATGGGAAGGAGAACAGTCAGAACCATGAAAAATCATGGAGACCACCTTTAGTGATGTATGCAAAATTAATGTTGATGCATCCTTCAATGCTGATACGAACAAGGGAGGCTTGGGATTTGTTATTCGAGACAACATGGGTGAATTCCTTGACTGAGGCGTCGGAACTATCCCTCGTGTTGCCTGCCCCCTTCAAGCAAAGGCGTTGGCCGCACCTTTATACTCTGCAGCGTGCTACTCAGCTGGACATGAAGAAGGTGATTTCCGAAACTGACGTATCTATGCTAGGCCGTGTTATTTACATAGATTCGTGAGCTCTGTACCTTCAATTTATCAATTGTAAGAGCATCTTCGAGAGCCTTTCTAAAATATACTCTCTAAATCATCATTTAGAAAGTCATTTGAGTAAAAATCGTTTCTATATATTTTCATTCTCCAACAGTTTTTTTTTTTCTATATCATTCTAGAGAGCCATCTTCGCTTCATCTTTAGCTAGCGAGAAATCCGAAATAGAGAATATCTATATTTGGATATTCAAATAAAGAGGCTGTTGGAGGATATTTTCATCAAAATCTTTATTTCTGTAAATTAGAAAAGATATAAAGAATTTCTTGGAGATGCTTTAAAATTCCTATATGTTCTAGAGTCTGTAATAAAGTGACTGTTTTATGGTGCATGGGCGTGTTTCAGTCCCAGAGACAAACATGGAGTTGGTTTTTAAAGAAAAGAGGGTTTCCAAGATAAAAAAAAATCCTTTAGGCCTTTATCAATTGTAAAATTCCCTTAACTCCCTTCAATTTTCTTTGATTTTAGGATCAAACGAACAGGTCCTAACTAGATTTTAAGATGCTCTTAATTCACCAATTCTTGGCCCAATACCTTGAATCAAAACGGGGTGCAGAAGGATCTCGCATAGAAGTCACCAAAACGTAAAGAGACGGAGAAATGCTTCAGCTTACAGCATGCACATATCACGTGCGGCCTGGGGGCCCTTGGTGCTCAACGAACAACGAAGCAAGAACAGTGCAAAGTTGTCAAAAAAAAAAAAAAAGAGAGAGCGCAAGATATAACCTCTCTCAAAAAAAAAATCCCAAATTAAGAAGCAAAACACCGTTCTGAGCTCGGCCCCACCATTTCTCCTCCTCCGCCGGCAACTCTCCGTCGCCGATGCCCTTGCCCGTCTCCGGCCGCCGCGGCCTCCCCATCCTACCGCTCCTCATCCTCTACGCGCTCCCCGCGCGGCTCCCGCGGTGCGCGGCCGAGTCGGCGACGTGCCTCGCCGTGTACCGGGAGGGGGGCGCCCCCGCGGTGTTCCAGTCCGCGCACTGCCCGCGCTGGACCCTCCCCCCGCACGACGGCCAGGGGGATGGCGGGGGCAAGAGCTCCCCGATGGGGTGCCACGTGGCGGCCGACCGCGGCCGCCGCCGGTCCCAGGAGGACCGCGCCGTCTGTGCCCTCGGCATCCGCATCCCCTTCGTAGGTACTGTACTTACTCCCAACTTCACAACGTGAACTGGATGCTTCAGTTTGTAGTGCTCAAATCAGCCAGTGACTTGGAGGGATTCTGTGAACTTAATTGAATTAGATTTCTGGGTCGTTGCTTTAGCCTAGTAGTATACTGCAGCACCACACAGTTATTTGCCATTAGTACCAAGCTAGAGATATAGGCCGAAATGATCTTCTAGAGCTCAAATTTAGGCTGTAGTTCAGTGTGCTTGTATTTGCCTTATGTTGCTTGACATCTTATTCGAAGGGGTTGATAAGATGGAAAGCACTGAAGTCCAAATTGGATGCTGATTTCCAGATAGTAACACTAAAGGCGTTCTGGAGGTTTACTGTTCAAAGACACACATGGTAGCTGGGTGTCAAATTGTAACACTGAATTTGTTGGAGGCATTGTAGAGCAATGCACCATAGATTTTATTTCATCATTCTGAATTTGTTAAAACATCTTATGCCTACCAGTCTACCACATAGTTTATGTACTTCTGGTTGTGCAATGGTAATGATTGATGAGTGCCTCATGCAGTCATCCCTTGGGATGACATATAGCTGCTGTTGTTTTTTTGCTGGAATACGCAAGAGAGCTACATAAGTACGTCATTATATTAAGAAAGAAAGGAGTTTAGAACCTGTACACACACAAAAAAAAACACATTACCTCAACCTAGAGACACCAGGCTCCAAGGACTAGCCTCCAATTGGCGCAGGGGCAGCTAGGTGAGACACACCTCAAGCCCTGGCCATGCTACATATGGCTGTTGCACGCTCAATTGATAGTTCAATAGAATGTTATTTCTCAAAAGCATTTTAGTTACTCTAGTTCAATGTTTGGCTCCATGCACTCTATTTGTTTTTAATTTATCTTAGCTAACTCACTAACATATTACAGAGCAGATGAGGATTAAGGAAGTTGATGTGGGAGTGGTGGCAATATTTGATGGTCATAATGGAGCTGAGGCTAGTGAGATGGCTTCTAAGCTTTTTCTGGATTACTTCCTGCTCCATGTTTATTTTCTTCTCGATGGAATATACTCCATGCTGTTCAGAAAATCTACTGGGAAACTGACATATCGGGAAGTTACTATTCTTAACAATGTATTTAATCTGTACAAGGATGACCAATCCAACCATGGAGAGAGGCATGTTTTTCTTTTCATACGCCAGTTTTCGTTGATATGTAGCATAATTGTTCAAATGATTCATGGTAACCAAACTTTTGAACTGATGAAAAATTGCAGGTCATGTTGGACATCGCCAGCTATTCTAGACCGGTCATTTCACATGGAAATTCTGAAGGAATCACTAATGAGGGCAGTTCATGATATTGATTTAACATTCTCCAAGGAAGGTCTCATGTTTCATCTGTATAGTTAAATTTTGTAATAAAGCTTCATATGTCAGAAAAGGATTCTTCTTCGTGTACAATGCAGGAAGCTTTACAGAACAATTTTGAGTCTGGTTCAACAGCGACCGTGGTCTTGATAGCTGATGGACAAATTATAGCAGCCAATGTCGGAGATTCAAAAGCTTTTCTGTGCTCACAAGGATATGATTCGCACCATCGAAATAGTTAAGTTTCATTCTTCAGTTTTTTAAATTTCAGATGTACGAGCCGAGTTGAATATTGACTCACCTTGACTAGATGGTTCTTGTTTTATTTTTGTCGATGTTATTCCTTCCCTCCCTTGACCCTTCCCCTTCATCTCTTGATGTCATATTCCTTTCAACAATATATAGGTTATAACAGGGTACTGTTGGCCCTTGCCTGCATTGTAAATATCAGCCCATTCTTAGAGTCTTAGTCTAAGAATATGATATGGTTTTCATGGCTGGGTCCAGATTGCCTGTTTAGTCAGCCAGAGCCCTTTGTGTTGTGGTCTGGTTAGCTTCTCATGGTTAGTAGGTGGTAAGTAGGTATGAGATTGGTAAACAAGTACTCTATAATTTCATTTCTTAGGTAATGAAATGGGAGAATTATCTATTTGGCACTGAAACAAACCAGTGTTTCGTATTTGGCACTCGAAAATTTGAACTTTCTTATCTGGCATCAAGTTGAAATTTTCTTTCGTAAATGGCACTGCCGTCCATTTAAGACAGTAACGGTGTCAAGTGACCGGCAAAAAGACATGAATACCCTTGTTTGCAGCAGAAACCCATGGTGCCAAATAGGGAAGTTCAAGTATTTTCGTATGGACGATATTGCCCTCAACTACTTCCCTCATCCTAGTCACTAACGTGTAGGCCCCACTCGTCATCCCCTTCCTCTGCTCGTACCAATGGTGGTTCTCCTTCCCGTTTGCGCCGCCCTGCCTCCTCGGCCTCACCTCCGCGCGCTTGTCACGACGACCGAGAACAGAGGGCTCCTAGCGGTGAGGCACTGACGCTCGACCGCCACAATTGCAGCGTGGCCATCGTAGCCACCGAACACGAAACACGAGTTCGCTGCGGACATGGACTGAGCGGTGCCGCTCGAGCGACCGCCGCCGCCAGGACTAGGAGCGTGGATGTGAGGTCGAGGTGGGGCGGCACCGATGAGAAGGTGAGCTCCGTGAAAATTGCAGTTGGGAAGGGGCCTCACGAGAACTCTTCTTGCTTGACCATGGCGGGCGGAGCTCTGTGCGACCATGGTGGGGCGGAGCTCGGTCGAGGTGGATCTAAGGGGCAAGCTTGGGCGGGATTGTGGCGGTGCTCATGGATCGGAATGGCGTGGTGGCGGAGCTCGAGCTGCTGCTCGGCGGCGCCAGCGCGCGAAGCTTCGGAGCGAGCGAGAGAGAGAGAGAGAAAGCGCCGTCGCTTACGTCTTCTTCGCGCCGCCACCGGACGGGACGAAAGGCATCCGCGCCATGGCGGTGGGCTTGCCGCAAAGCCGCGCCATCTTCGCTGCCGGGCAAGCACGCGAAGCGAAGCTACCGAAAGCCGCCGCCGGTCTCACTGCTTGAGGGCAGGGGCGGCCTTTGCTTAAGAGCCGAGGCTGGCGCAGCGGTGGCTATATCCGAGCAACACACGGAGGATGAGCGAATCGACGACACTCCACATGAGCCGGTCGAGAATCGAAGAAGAATTGTGTGGCGCCGCATGTGAGCCGGGGCGAAATCGAAGAAGATGGTGGCGTCCATGGAGTTCTCACCGGTAGCGGGTGATGACCCATGATTCGGGAGGTGGTGAGGTACACGGGCGGTGCGGTGAGGCCGTGGCCGTAGGCGCCGTCGTCGTCGCTTGGCGCTGCCACAGCTCCGGCAATGGAGTTCGGCGCGGCGCTTCGCTCTACACTGTAGGCCTCAAGCTACGACCATGGTACCCGTGGAGATGTCCACGCCCGAGTATCACGAGAGAGCGCAGCCATATGAGCAAGGCCCAACACGGCACGCTGACTCGTCGTCGAGCAGAGGGCGGGGCGGCCTCCCGTGGGGTGGCTTTGCTTTCAGGCCCGACCATGGAGCCAAAGCGATCTCGACTGAGGGCACAACAGAGCCGGGAAGAAGGCGCAAGATGAGGGACCGGCCCACTGCAAGGCCATGCCCTACTACTCGCCTGCACTGGCACAAGCGCCACGGCCCAGTAGTAGATCGAGATGGAGGGAGAGGAGAGGAGAGGGCCGCCGTCTTGCGGGCCGAACGCATGTGTGCTCCCTCGCCAGGAGGGCGACCAACATGGCAGAGCTGGGACAGTCTTGGCGGCACACACCGGGAGAGGGAGAGAGAGAGAGGCGGTATGCGGCGGCGGTGGCGCATGCATGCCGAGCAGAGCTCGCGCGGCTTGGGGGCCTGACCACGCTGTTAGCAGCATGGAGGCCGCGCCGTGTTGGGGGCCATGCCTGCCGCCCGCCACCTCGGGAGAGAGGGTGAGGGAGAGAGGAAGGGGAGGCGATGGGAGCAACTGCGACGGCAGCGGCGGCTGCATGGGCGGCGTGGAGGGAGGTAGAGGCGTAGCGGCGTGGGAGTCTTCTGTGTATCTAACAGAGGGGTACATCGGACATAGGGAAAAAAACTGACATGGTCAAATCAGTCAACTAACAGATTGATCAATGAAAATGGACGGCGGTGCCATTTACGAAAGGAAATTTCAACTTGATGCCAGATAAGAAAGTTCAAATTTTCGAGTGCCAAATACGAAACACTGATTTGTTTCAGTGCCAAATAGATAATTCTCCCTAATGAAATTTAGGTCCACCTGTTGTGGAAAAAGATTGCCCATGTTTAGGATTTGATATTCCTGTTCAAGATGCCACTGTGCTCTAGCAACATGGGGAAAATGTGCATAAGAGCTTTGATGTAAAGTCAACCATCATAAGCCATCGAAGATAAATCACACTACTATTTACTTATTAATTCTGGTAACTGTGCATATCCAAGTCATTGTATAGGGTATTTCTGGGCACTGTGACGTCATCTGCATTTTTTTGTTGGCATGACCTTATTCCTGTGCAAGATTCTCTCCAACACTGCACCATATTCTATAATAAGGCCTAAAGGTCACATCCTTTTATGTTATCAGCTGCACTTGCACCGATTTACGGTGAAATGGTCCATGACGTGACACTGCTTAGCTGCCTTTATTGGATACCTAGTTTGCTCTTGGCTTAGATGCTTTATGGTGGAATAATTTCAGCTTGGTCATGGATAACAATTTGCACTCCCTCCGTTTGAAATTACAAGGCGCATTTTCTTTCATTAGGACAAGCCTTTGGCCAACAATATCTTTGTCAATATATGATTTTTGTAATACAAAGTTGATGTTATTATATTCGTATTGAAAAAATACTTACAATTATGATTTTGTATCACATATTGGTAGAGATTGTCAATCAAGGTCTTGTCCTAGTGAAGCAAACGAATTGTTTCTTGTAATTTCAAACGGAGGGATTAGGTTGCAATCACCAATCACCCAGAACCAATACTGGCTTGTGCATGAATTGGATATAAGACATAGCAGTATGCTCAATATTTTTTCATTAATTATAGATTTAGGGAAGGAGAAATGATCCGAAGTCATATTTTTTTGTGATCATGATCACATATAGGTTATGCATTTTTCTTTGTATATTTCATTTTCCTTATTTTATTAGCCTGTGTTGTAGGGATTTGGGTGAATAATAATATGAAGGCTTGCATTGTATCAGGGAAACGGAGAAGAAAGAGAAACTCAATCAATCATGAGGAATTTGCTTTGGCAAATTATGATGGACCATTGTATCATGCAAGGGAGTTGACCAAGGACCATCATCCTGATAGAGAAGACGAGAGAAGCCGCGTGGAGGCTGCTGGTGGTTATGTTCTTGAGTGGGCTGGTGTATACCGAGTTAATGGTGAGCTAGCGCTATCAAGAGCTATTGGTGACATTCCATACAAAAGGTTAACATGCAATCTATTGACCTTCTCCATCTCTGTCTCACTTGGCTGCTTCCCCAGTTTTGTTCACGTATTACAGTTTGCTTGTTGAGAAATCTGTATATAATAAAATTACATGGGGCTAAAGCTGCCATCCTTCCTCAAGAGTACTACAATGAAACTGTTGAGTAATAACTTGCATGGGGGGATGGAATAGAGATTAAGACTCTTTATAATATCTGAAGACAGCCAAAATGGTGTTAGCTAATCTACTGCCACCTTGTGTGAACACAGCAGAGGAAGGCGGCGCCGACTTAGCCGCCTGCTGTGTGTGAACACAGCAAGGGAAGGCGGCGCCGACTTTGCCCCCTGCTGTGATCTGATGAGCAGCTGCAGTGCAGGCGCCCTTGCTGGCTCACTTGCAAAGATCTTTGAACAGCAGAGGAAGCCAAGTCAGTTATCTCGAGTTATCTAGCTCTTGTGCAAAGCATAGGCGCTGCATGGACTAGATAGTTAGAGTTGTATAAATAGACATGTATGGCAACTCAGTAAAGAGAGCTCAGATTTGTCATCACACAGATAGGATCTCGGCCAACGCTGTTGTCTTGTATTGTGCGTGCTTGCTCTGTTCTCCCTTCTTCTTCTAAGCTCGTCCGTAGTGTGTGGGTACGGACAATGCCGGTACGTGGTCTGCACGGCTAGTGGGTGCTCGGCAACACTAGTGCGTGCTCGGCGAGACCGTCAAGTGCTCCACTCGCCTGAGCCGGTGCTCGGCAAGATCGGCTGGAGTGGTTCACTGTCGTGAGCCGGTGATCCTGTGAAACCAACGGAGTGGTCTGGAGGCCATCTCGGTGGTCGGGAGGCTAACTGTGGGCCAACAAATGGAACATATTTCAATACCGAGGAGCATCTGCATGTTAACCGTTATATATAATGTGGTATTGATTGAAAACAGATATAAGTCGCCCCTGAGGCAGAGTGCTAGTCCCATGCTAAGATGGAATTTCTTAAAATGTTGATATAATATGCTATTTCTCCATTCAGTAGAGTTAGATGGACAAGCTGACGTGATCCTTCTAATTGTTTTTGCAGGTATGGTGTAATATCAACACCTGAATTGACAGGGTGGCAGATTCTGTCAGAAAATGACACTTTTCTTATTGCATCATCTGATGGGGTCTTTGAGAAAATGACTATGCAAGATGTTTGTGACCTGATGTTGCATGCTAAATTTCGTGTTAAACACGATTTTGGATATTCTGCTATGACACAACATAATTTGGCAGATTATTTAGTTCATGTTGCTTTACAGAAGGGCACAACAGACAATGTGGCTGCTGTAATTGTTCCATTGGGATCACCTGGTAGCACTGGTACTACATTAAAAGATTGGTCCCAGTTTGAAGAAGATCTCAAGACATCTATTTCTCCAGTGTTGAATATTCCATATGGACTGAAGCCTGGTAGTCTCACTGATCATTGACTGTATTTTGTTAATTGTATTTGTAACCACTCCATAAATTCGTGCATTTCCATATTATTTAATTATATAATAATTGAATTTGTTTATAATTTGGGTTTTACTTGTTGCAAATGACCCTAACAATTTGTTAATATTGTGCATTGCTTTTTTCTGCTATCCAAAGCACATTGTAGTCAGTTGACCCAATTCCCTGTTGTTAGCAATATAGGGGCAATCTTTATAGGGATGCCATATTTCACAGGAGAGCATTCATGCCCCTTCTATGATAATTCTGTGTTGGTATCCTCTTCGCTCTTCTGTTGCTGCCGTGCTGCTGTATTTTTCTATTTTCTTTCCATGTCTGTAAATCCTTGCTCCTTAGTTTACCCGTTTGACTATGTCATTATACATAGTACACCTTAAGTTGAGGTCAAACTCTCCTCTGAGCTCATTGTCCTTTATTTACATGTATTTTATTTTATTTTATTTTATTTTGTGGCTAGATGATGGCAAGGAGTTATTCAGTTGTTCATGAACTCCTTATACTTGGTTTTACTTACGTGTATTTTCATATGGCTAGCAGATGATGGCACTAGTTCAGCTGTCATTGACATGGGATATTTCAAGCGTTCATCAATAAAGTTCCAGAGGTTCTTGGTAAGTGAGGAATATAGTTATCTTTTATCTTGGGAGTTAGATTTACCAATCGATACAAATGCATTATACAATTTTATGCCATGTGAGTTCATCTTTGTTGTTATTACCTGTTTCATTTAGTATATAATTTCTTGTTCAGTTTCTGTTTTTTTGTGACGAGTTGGATGATGCTATTTGGGTTCCTTTGCTTACTCTAAAATTAGGTTGAAGCAAAACCTAAGAAGCTTGGTTGTTTCTATTTATCCGAGAGTCTGGATGAAGATATGGACTACATATTTAGGGTACCGGAAGCATACCAGCGTGAAGAAGACTTCAATCACATGCCAGCTGAGACTGTCTTATATTCTGATGGTTAGTGGCCTGTTTTATATACTCATGGGTGGGTCTTTTCAGAAATAAGTCATTTCTTTTGTGTGTGTGTATGTGTAGTGGTGCTGTGGTGGTGGTGGTGGTGGGGAGGGGGGTGTCCAGCACCGCTGAGCACCTTTTAGAAACAGTCAATTGCCAAATTTGGTGGATGAGAGGGCTGTGGAATTCTGATGTGATGATTGACTTGTTTGATAGTGTCTTTATCTTGTTCATGACTTTGGTTGTTCTCTTCTACATTGTATACAGGTAATCTTGAAAAATACAAGGACAGACACTTTTGCTTGTACCTTGGTCATCAAGATGGCGAAATGGGGCGGTGCAATGGTCCTGAAGCTTTTGCAAATTTTTTTGGTCTACTTGACTCCCTTCCGCATAATGGAAGCAAATCAAATGGTTCACGCTCCTTTGGCAACACAATAGATTTCAGGTACCTTTCCATTTCTCAAGGAACATTCTGAATACTTATTGAGGGAAACTTCCTGGGTAGTTGCTATGTTTTCAATTGGATAGCCTTTTGTACCTTGTTTTATCATGATTTGTACTTAGCATACCTGGATATCACCAATTTATGTTGAAGTTTGGATTCTTTATTTTAGTTGTTTTCTATTCATTGGACTTTTCACTTGCTTGAATTGATGTTAAATGAATGTCAAACTTGGTTCCATGTCAAGCAACCTTGAGCCATTTTGACATTTCTCTAGTTCCATTAAACATAGCAATAATTTCTTGTCAGATGATATGCAAAACATTAGCTACATATCCAAATGGAGAGGCATGTTTAAGGGGTAAACTGCAAGGCAGAAAATTTGTTGTTGTCTCAGTGTAACATACTAACATTTGTGAAATGACTATCCTTGAGTAAAGTGGAAGAGTTATTGCATGGACTACTTCTGATGAGCTTTATTGGTCTCATGAGTTGTAAGCATTAGGATATAGACATATAGTTGATATGTGCTGTGGGATAATTATTTGGTCCTTTGCAGCAACTTACCTGGAATGTGCTTGATGTTCTCCTGTATTTAATAGTGCATGTGCAATTGTGCATTACATTATTCAACTACATTGCTCAGAATAATGTACAGTGTCATGATATTAGTACAAGTCTTTTATTCACTAAAAGGAGATTTCCTTTTTTAACCATGTCCAGATACAAGCTTAAGAGAAGATTTGATCGTGGGTCATACGGTGAAGTCTGGTTGGCATTTCACTGGAATTGCTCTGAAGATGCAGATGTTCATAAAGAGCCTCCACACTTTACCACTATATCTAAATCAGAGATGTATAATTGCACAAGTTCAGACACAATGTCATCTGATGAAGATCATGTTTCAGGCACAGTAGATGGTGATTTATTCATACTAAAGCGCATAATGGTAAATTAAATCAGTTGAACACCTGTCTTTATCGCTTTTTGCCATATGGGGTTCCCTACATAAGCACCACATCTGCATTAGAGTACATATGTTTAAAGAAGAGAACTTAACTCTTGTGCATTAAGCAGTAATAAACTTGAAAAATATGCCCACATCTAGCAGTTCAGCCTGCTCGTGCATGCAGTAGGGAGGAGCATTCGCCAGTTGTATGGCAAGCTGCCCTTGCTTATTACCTTTGGTCTGGCCCTTAAAACTTTAAAATTATGGCATCCTACAGAAACTTTTCAAATATGCTTGTCGCATCCTACATAAACCTTTCAAATAAGCTTGTGGCCATGACATGTAAGCTCTAGGCCTCATTTCTTCACTTGGGAAAGAGTTGCCCCTTGACCAGTAAAAAAAACTAACAGAAAAATCACATGTGAAGTAAAGTACATCTGTTCCGCCCAAAAGGGTACTCAATGGTGTGGTTCAGTCCAGAAACTAGCCCGTCAATTTCTTTTAGCTACTTCTTGCTGATGCTGGGAAACTGGCAAACTGCTGAAGAAAACATATAATTATTATTGTCGATTTATTACAATTCAGGTTATTTGTGATTCTGCAATGTCTAGCTGATTTATTCTTAGTCAGGTTAGGTGTGCAGTAAACAAAATTGTTTTCAATTCCAATTCATTTGACTCATTGGATTGTTTTTTTCCTGGAACATCTGTTATATTTTGAACTACTTTGTTATTCACAAAGCAAATATTTGCTAAAAGAAAACAAACATATAAAAGAGGATTTCCTTGAAACAGTACTGATGCTAGAAGAGCCTTATTGTCCCGTCTTAAGCCCTGATTGAAAACTGCAGGTGGAGAGGGGAAATGCAGCTTACTTGAGTGGATTGCGTGAGAAATACTTTGGGGAATTATTTTCAAATGCTTCCAGAACTCTTGAAGGTTTGTTGAGGACAGAATCATCGACTATCTCATTGGACATGCAATACAATCCTGATATCCGTTTAGAAAGGAACATGTCGGCTACTGAGGAACCACTCAAGCACGTGGCTAGGTTTATAGAATCTTTTGAATCAGAATCAAGGGAAATTTGGCTGGTGTATCACAATGAAGGCCGCTCATTATCAAAACTGATATATACTGCTGAAGAAACGAAGTTAGTCACTGGCAACAATAATGAGAGGGTCAGACATATTCAAGTTCTGCACCCATCGAAGTGGTGGCATTGGTTAAGGACAACAAAAGCTGGGCAAAAGCAAATGCAAAACCTCTTATGGCAGCTGGTATGTTTATGCTGACTCTGGTTCTCCTGTGAACTGAATGCTATGGAGGCATTTTAGTTTCTTCTAGATGTAAGCTGCCATCAACAGGCTAAAAATAAAAAGAGCAACACTTGTTCTGCAAATTGCTTCTTATTGGTGGTTTAGTATACTAACTTATTTTATTTTTTCCCCTTTCCTAGTTGATGGGACTGAAGGCCTGCCATGATCGTAATATCACTCACCGGGATATCAAACCTGGTAGAAATGATATTGTTGTCTATTCTTTCTTTGTTTTTTATAGTTCTTGAATCTTTTTCTGTAGACAATTTCTATTAACTAGTCATGTTAACATTGCTTATTTTACGTCATGGAAGAGAACATGATCATTTGCTTTGAGGACATGGAGACTGGAAAGTGTCTAAGAGAGGTTCCATCTGAAGCAAAGCAAAATAAGTTGAACATGTAGGATTCAAGAAGTTCCTACACTCATGCCCTTTTTACAATTTGGCAAAGTTTAATCTTTACATAGGAGTTTCATGATTATTGGTAGTTAGCTGTTGAGATATTGTAAATGTATTATTGGGTAGCTGACTTTATTTGCAGAGGCACTTCTCCAGCTGTTGAGCCAATTGCCCCCCACAGAATTTTGTGAAACACCCTATATTGAGTGTCTAAGGTTAACAGAGTATATATAAGATTTGAACCCATATGTATTTCAGTCTTGCTCTGCCTCGTAAGTCTTACTTAAGGATGCTGAACAGTAGTGTGTACTGTAGCAGTAGGATTATGGCAGGGGTTACCTTCTAAAATAAAGAGATCTGTTGCCAAGATAATTTGTTACTTTCCTATTTAATTGGGGTGGCTTACCAATTAATTAGGAAGGTTATCGGTTTAGTTAGATATGGTTTCATAGGAAAGCAAGGATTGTATTCTTAAGTGTCAAGTTATGTGATCAATCACTAATTGTTTACGGTGTTAGAGCCACGTAGAGGTGAGGAAACAGCAGCAGAAACTGTAGTAGTTGATTCCTTTCCCCTGTTTAACCTTGATCAGACTGCTCAAGCCACCCTTTATGGAAAGGGACCTATTCTTAAAGAAATATGAAATAGTCCAAGTTTAGGCATGATCAAAATCTACTAACAGTTAGGAGACAGGACCAAACCTTACCTCGATGAGAGCAGCTTCACCCTTATCCTGGTCCTCAGGCCATAACCCCATCAATTCACATCATTGCCTCAAATTACATTAGCAAATTATTTGAGAAATTTGTAACTTCATGTTAGATCAATTTAGACCTCAACATCAATATAAGATCAATTGTAAATCACAGATTTTTTTTATTTGATTTTTGGCTTTAGGTTTTTCTTGGATCTCAGTTTCTCAACTATTCAACTGAGTAATATTTTTCTATACAATTTGTCTCAATTTCATTAAGTATAGAGGTTAGAGCAATTAGATTGCGTGTGCCTTCTCGCACTTGCTTTTTTTTTGTGTGTGTGTGTGAATTGCGATTCTAGTTTGAGACATCGTTTTCTGAAACTGTAATAGTCACCGTTGCCTGTCTTAAATTATAAGAAAGGTGTTGCATTCTTCTTCTATTAATAAAGAACAACTTCCTGTACACAGGCGTCTGATTGACTTTGGCAGTGCCATTGATGATTACACGTTGAAGAATCTTTATGGTTCAGGCCCTACTCGGTGTGATCATTTTCCTTCCCTTCCCTTTCCTTCAGTATTTAGCTGCAGCATAAAATTAGGATGATCTTGATTTGAGTTGTAGAATTATGCAATTTATGATCGGGAGTAATTTAGGGTATCTTACCTGGATTTCTTAATAAGTCCAAGGGTTCATGATTTAGGTTTTTCCAAGTCAATTTTTTGTCCTATTCATTTACCCACCCATGCCAATGGTCAATTGTGAACTACGTCCTTTCTTTATCAACTTCCCTGATGGACATGTTTGATCCTGGACTTTTGAACTTTTGGGTAATAGGGTTTTGTACTCAAATGAACGAGGATTAAGCCAGATCAAGTAACTGAACAGTATTTATCTAATATTTGGCAGCGTATAGAAAAATGTGTTCCTTGCTACATTTTCAGATGTGCTTGTTCTTGAACGTGACATTAGACATGGGTTGCATGGCACTACTTTGACTTGTTTTGATCCATTCTATTCCAATTGTAATGCAACTCCAGATCTGAACAGACATTTGAGTACACTCCTCCAGAGGCACTCCTTAATTCAAACTGGTTTCAAGGATCAAAAAGTGCAAGGCTTAAGTATGTCTCTTTTACCCACTTCTGTTACTTCTACGAATTCTGGTATGTACCAGTGTGTTTGACATACAGCTGCACTATGATTCACTGAAGTTCTCGTTTTACTATGTACAGGTATGATATGTGGAGTGTTGGAGTTGTCATGCTAGAGTTGATGGTGGGTTCTCCCCATGTTTTTCAGATAAGCGACCGCACACGTATTTTAATGGATCAGCGTCTCGAAGGGTGGAGTGAACAAACAAAGGAGCTTGCATACAAGTGAGGCAATGTTAATCTCCTCTCTGGGCGTGTGTGAAATCTGGATTAGCAAAGCTGATACAGTTTGCAGTTGTTGTTCTCTTACTCTCTTAGCAAACTTGAGAACATCGCAGAAATTTTCAGTTTTTATGAAGTACTCCCTCCGTTACATTTTATCTGGCGCAAGTTAGAATGACACGGTCTCCTAGATTACACTTTGAGCATTCATTTGCTTTATATTATATTATTTATTCTTATAAACTTATAATCATTGGATAGTATAATTCCTTATAAATCTGATCATATAAAATATGTATTATAATAGTTAAAAATTATTAGCCTAATTATTGGTCAAAGTTTTTAAAGTTTGAATCTTGATATGCGTGTGCGCCAGATAAAATGGAACGGAGGTAGTATTATGAACTGCATATTTCTCCTATGGTTCTTGGGGTATCCCAAATTATTGATACTGATGAAAATCATAAAGTCTACTGCCTTCCCTTTTAGGCGAACAGAACACTTCAAAATTTAGGTGCTTGTGTCATATATAGGCAACCTAACACATTGATGTTTGCTCTGTTGATATGGCATTGACATAACGTAGCATTATCTGGTCCTAAGGTTCTCTCTAGCCATCATAGTCAATTGGCTATATTAAATGAAATTAGGAAGTGAGGTGTTCCAAATAGGTCTGCAGTATGAATATGTAGAATATTCTTCTAGAGAAAAAATGATTGCCATAATATTCCTTCATTTCCTGTTCTGATGTTAGGTTGAAGTCATACATGGACTTGTGCATTTTAGTGCCAGGGATTTCCTCACAACATCATGGCAGTGGTGGCCCAGAACAGGTCAGTAACTCCATTATCTGCTTATTACTGTAACTTATGATCGTACTGTATTTTCTTGTGCACAGTGTTTCTCTTATTCTAAAAAAATGTAAGATAAATTGGCACATTGTTGTGTAGTTTCACTTCCACATTCATATGTTGTAAAAAGGATGTATTTTCTTGGCAGATCTTTTTTATGCTCCTTATCCTTAACATTGATCGATAACCCATGAAACCCTCGTTACATATCTGCCATAGTATATAGCTGAAGTTTCAAGGCTATGTGACAGCTGATGATGGCTTTCTTTTACTTTGTTTAAGGGTCAATTTGGGTTAGCTTCTTGGAAATGCTCTGAAGAATCATTTGCACATCAAGTGAAGATCAGAGATCCTCTTAAGATTGGGTTGGTGTTTCTTTTCTTGTCCACATTTTCTTTGCCCCAGAATATTTGGACCATCATCATTTTCATATCTAATAGTTTCATCATTGGCATTGCTAATGTTTTCCAGCTTTCCTAATTTATGGGCACTGCGACTCGCACGCCAGCTACTTGTGTGGCATCCTGTAAGTTTCTTGAACCCTGCTCCATAAATTTCCTTAAGTAGTTGACATTTCTTAACCCTATCAAAATTCATGTGGTTAAAAAGGCGAATAGTGGCTACAGAAGAAGATAATAGTGGCATCCTGTTATGGTTCTCAATCTTATTTTTACAATTCCTTTTCATTCTTTTACTTGATCTGTTCCTATACCACCAAGGTATAAATACCTATGCTATATTGCAGGAGGATCGGCTAAGTGTCGATGAAGCACTAAATCATCCTTACTTCCAGGAGCCAACGTAAGGAGAGGGGATTAGTGATCTAACCTATGAATCTTTAACTCAGTCCTTCCAAGTTTGAGCTGCATCCATTTGGTCAGAGGAATTCGTGAATCGTTTGTAATTACCAACCTGGTTGTGTCATAAGATGTTGTGAATATAACATGAAACAATAGATAGTAGCATATGTGCAAATACATGTGTAACCAGCAGCGTAGATACAGGGCTGAAAGGAACAGAGACAGCTGTGTAACGGTGAAAATAGTGAAGAGAACCAGCAGCGTAGATAGATTCTAGGACCAACCAAAAGCGCCCTTGATCGCATTGGCAGGATATAAGACCAGTTAGGATGTAATGGTGCTAATATTGTTCTCCAGTTCTCACCTATTGAATTACTACAATGTACAACACCTCATGCGTTTAAAAAAATCAAAAGTCACGAGAGTAAAAGATCTGTTCAGCATCCTAATTCAGCCGCTTGGTTGTGCATAGGCACCATGGTGTCCCGGTGTCGCCCAGAGTCTGCACTGCGCATACAGTATGGAATCGATGCATTCATGTTTGCTGAACTGCATCAACTTGTTACTGGACCATTCAGGTGGTGTTTAAATTCAGGGAGTAAAGTTTAGGGATATCATGTTAGGTGTTATATCGGGGTATCACATATGGGAGTGTTCGGATACTAATAATAAAACAAATTACAAAGTCCTTAGTAATTCACAAGATGAATTTATTAAGTCTAATTAATCTATCATTAGCACATGGTTACCGTAGCGACACATTGTCAAATCATAGACTAATCAGGCTTAAAAAATCCGTCTCACAAATTAGTCGCAATCTGTACAATTAGTTATTTTTTAGTCTTTATTTAATACTCCATGCATGTGTTTAAACATCCGATATGATAGGGAGTAAACTTTAAGCAAACAAGGCGTCTGTTTCAAGACCGACAACGCATTCCAAACAATTTAAAGCATATTCAGCCAGCCAAACAATTTAAAGCATATTCAGTCTCTGAAGTTTGATGTTCCATGCGGCTTCATTGAAGCAGAACCCCAACTTGCTACTAGACCATCGAATAGCACTGTAGCACAACTTCATGATTGGCCAAACACATTCCCAACAGTGCACGGTATCTTCAGAAGTCAGAACTGTTGCAGAGCTAATCTGCTTGGGAGATCAGGAGGTAATGACGCTAAAGATACATCACAGAAGCAGTCACAGTAATTGCGAGCATTAGATTTCGGGTAAAAACTAAACAGCATAATCTTTCTAGGACAAAAGAAAAGGTAAATGTTTCAGAATATACGGTAAAACTTCTATAAATTTCTCTATTCATGTCGGTCTGAACACTCAGTTCAGGCATCAGGATTCTGATTCACTTTGTCACAACACCACATACTGAAACCAGCCATGTTATTGTAGAAACGAGATTATGCCATCAGCCTAAGCGTCTCTGAACATCTACTACTATACTATAGCACGATCTCTTCAGACTTCATTTCCGTGGTGGCGTCTGCCTCTTCACGGACCGGAGCTGCGCCGAGTTCTCGAAGCAGTGGTAGAAGCCAAAGTGTGGGAATCGCTCGTACCACGTGTCCTGCGGGACGTGCGTGTCCCAGTGCTCGCCACTGCTGCTGCGCCCATACTTGTGCACCCACCCAGACCCGTTGTGCTGCTCACCCCAGGTGCGGTTCCACCGGTCCCCATACTTGCCCGCCCACCAGGTCTCCCCCTGCTTGATGCCATGGCCATTCGGGTCGAAGTGCTCGTCCCACTTGTCACCCCATTTAGACCATCCATCGCCCTCCGAACGCTCAGCCCACTTGTCGGTGTACTTTGTGCTGCCACCAAAGCCATCATATTTCTCGCCCCATCTACAGTGAAGACAGATGGTCCAATGGATTTGATTTGAGCATGCAACTCATTGCATATGAGCATAATGATCTGATAGTGGAATGTTTCATTGATCAAAGTGATTCAGTTCATGATAAATAGTGGAAGCTCTTACCTTTCATGCCAAACATGGGCATGACCGACATCCAGCGGTGTGTTTGGATCCAAGCTGCACCATTTATCAGCCCATTTTTCAGTTTTACCGGTCGAGTCATAGTGCTCAAACCATTGCTCTTGCCACTGCTCCCCTTTACCGTTCTGTCCCCACTTGTCTGCGGTCTTCTCCATATGCATAACCCCACATGTGTAATCCTGCAACAAATGCAATACTGAGTTTCTACTCTGGGGACACATTAACTTAGCAAATGTAACCACAAAGGAAGCAGATTGAAATACAGCAGCTGCAGAGTCACGTCTAAATATGAATCTAGATGTCTCAAGACAGGTAGTCCTAAGCGGCAATGCATGAAAATTTATAGCTACCCAATAAGCCAGAAATTTACCTGCCACATTGACTCCTTCCAGTATTCCCGCCAAACATTGCCCGCAGCATCACGCCCAGACTTCTCCGAACCTAATTCTTTATGATCAAACCGGTCTGAGGCCTCCCAATATTTGTCTTCCCATTCAACAGCACCATCAGCACTAACTCCCCTGATTACGGTCCACTTGCAAACTACACCATCAGGCCTTTGTTCTACACCTGTTTCCTTCCACCACATTGAACCATCTAGATGTATTCCATGTGATGATTTCTCAGCGCTTTCACTAAGTGCTCGAGCCACTTCAGCTGCATTTTTTGAGAACTGTTCTTCAAAGGTATCCTTTTTGTCAGCAGCCAGATCAGCCTTGGAATCCACATTCTCAGGTTCAGCAAATGATTGGAAAGGAGGAAGAGATCGATCTTCCTTCTTTTTGAAGAAAGCTGTCTCAAAAGGGAGTGTTAAAGAATCTGCTGATCGTTCCTTTTCCATCAACAGATCAGGCTGACTGGAAAAGGTATCCATTTTCTTGGATGGCTTTAAGCCAGTACTGCTTTCCTTTTGTTTACTGCTATCTTGTACTGGAGGTAACCATGACCAGAAATCTGGACCTGGAGTACCAAGCTTGGAACTTGACTGCTTTGAAGGAGATGAGCCCCCAGAGTCTGGCACTGAACGAATCACAGATTGCTGATGTCAGAGTGGAAGATTAAGTTTACAGGGAGCTGGATACAGTTGCGGTAAGTAAAACGCTTTGGCTAAATGTACTGCATAAGGCTAAAAATATCCTTCATGTACAACAAACAGGTAGATTGTGATGCTACTTGCAACTAGAAATTCCTTCAAGTGCATGAAACTTATGACCGAAAATTCCAAAAAAGTAGTATATTAGTTTTTTTTCTCGAATAAAAGTAGTATATCAGTAGTATAATTATTTCTTCATCCAAATCGTCCTTCAGAGAAAAGAAGCTATTGTGGGAAATTTGTTTACTATAATCTCTCATACTGGATGTAGGAAGATACATAGAGCAACAACTTTTCAGTATCTAGAGGACTACCAAACGCTGTATTGGTTAATTAGCAGTTAGTGGTAGTTCTAGTTATATTCGCTTGATACAGTAGGCCCCAGGTGGTTAGTTGGCACTACTTCTAACCATGTTTCCATGGCAGCAGGCCACAGATAATGAGACAAATAAGAATTAAGCATTTCACTGAACAAAAATCCTATTTGATGCCGAAATTGTCTCAGTGATGATAAAATAAAGAGTATCCATCTCTCCTAAAAAGTTGCTTTGCTTAGTGATAACTGAAAGAAAGAATCATCAAGATCCTTCGGTTATCCAACACATTTTGCATATTCCAGTTTCCAATTTTTCTTTTAAGGATTCATGGCTTGATTCTATTAAGAATTCCCCATTGTCATCCTTAGCTCCCCCTAAGCAATTCATGATCTCTTTAGTGTTTATTCACTCATACCTGTCAGATTAGAAACGGAGCTCATTTCTGCCTAATAGTAATGGGCTTAAGGCTAAAAGCTGGAATTGTAAAAAGGATCACGATGAGTAAAAGGCGTGCCGCGTGATCTTTAGACAACCTCAGGTGCACCCAGTGGAAACCAATACCTTCCGCCGAGGGCGACAGCTGTGTCCGCGCCGCCGGCCGGGAGCTCCGATCCGATCCCCTAGCAGCGCCGGCCGCGGCCGATCCCACCTTGGCCGTCTCCGCCACCTGCGGCGGCGTCGGCGGCGGGGACGGCGGCGAGGCGGGAGGTGGCTCCTTGAGCACGGCGCGTGCGGCGGCGAGGGCGGCCGCGGCGCGGTCGATGACCTGGCGGCGCTGCACGCGGTCGCGCTCCTCCCGGGGCACCCGCAGCATCTCCTCGAACCGCGCCGTCCGCCGCCGCACGTCCTCCACGGGGGCCCCGGGCGTGGGAGGCGCGTCCGCCTCAGCGGGGGGCGGCGCCTCCTGGAGCTGGCGCGCGAGCTCCGCCGACCGCTGCTCCCGCTCCACCGCCTTCCTCCACATGTCCAGGTACGACCCCCCGCCGCTGCCGCCGCCCGCCGAGGTGGCGGCGGCGGCCGCGGCGGGGCGGAAGCGCGCATTGCGGTGCTGCGCGCTGGCGCTGGCTCCCCCGCGGTGGCGGAGCAGGAGCAGGCGGGGCGCGGCCGAGGAGACGGATGCGGATGCGGCGTTGGAGGCTGCCATCGTCGTCTATCCGAACGGGTCGGGGTGTGGGTGTGGTGTGGAGGCCGAGGAGGGAAGGAGGAGGGAAGAGTGCGGTGGAGGGGAAAAGGGTGCCGGGTGTGGGCCCCGTCTCTGCTGACGTGGCACTGAGCAAGTGGAGGAGATTGTGGTGCGTGTCTCGGCGTCCCACGTGTCGTAAAGGTCAAGGAGCTTTTGGACCACTAGACGGTGGGCCATGAATTGCCTGCGACGGGATCGGGTTGTTTCGCCATGGAAATGGACGTCTGCAGATCCAAATTATCCGAATATGTATCCTCTAAAACGTGCAATATATTTGTATTCGTATCTGTTTCTAATATGAATACTATATAGATGTATCCGTATTTGTTTTTTAAATCCGATTTCAAATCCGTATTCGATAAACATGTAGAATATCCGACATTTATCCGTATCCACGAAGAAC